CAGCAACAACAACAACAACATCAGCAGGACTTTGCCGCCATGATCGCCGCTGCCGCGGCGGCAACAAGGACCAATGGCAAGCAGGAGACAGGTCGACTGGCCGCAGAGGAGGACTTTGGGGACTTTCAGGAAAAATCAAATGACATGGTGAACGGCTACTACGATGATCCCAACGTTCAAACCTTTGACGAGATGATGCAAATGACAACCGATTGCGTGGTGGAGCCCGTTCAGGTATGTGCTGCGCCAGGACTTCGTCCTATTGGGTCTTTGTTTGTGTGGGATCTACTTCTTACTACAGCCAGCACACTGTCCAAAACTCGGTCGGGGACGACTGCTAATGCAACTTTTTATTGTTCTCGTGAGGCATTTATTATTCCTGTTCTAGGAGTATTGACCGACGCTCTGAAATGCGTGTGTTACCATTGTATGGCTGGCCAACCGCAGCCAATCTCAGGGCGTTTATAAACTGATTACTATCAATCACGGTTATGGCTGGGAAAGCAATCCACATGAACGGGGGCGGGGTGTGCGTGCCATGCCCATGATCCCTCCGGTTTACGATATGTGCCGAAATTTGATAAATGAGCAACTTGAAATAGCGAAGACCGTTTACGGAATAGAACCCAATAGTGTTTAGGCAGCGCAGAGTGTTAATTTTTGATCGATAATCATTTCAGCCCCTGATATAAATCACGTTTGCAATGACTTACCCCCTTCGGATAGTGAATTTTTTTCCGTGGACCACATAAATTAGTCCGCATTCCCCTGCTCACCTTCAAGAAACTCGCGTTTTTTTCAAAATTCATCTTCAAGAAGGGGGAGTATTTAGGAGTTCTAGAAGATTTTTACGTGTTCTTTGAAGTGTGTACATATTTTCAAACATAGCCGACGTCTCCGGCCTTCCCTGGGGTTTCTAAATTGCAAACTACACAGCTTTATATGTCAATTATTGACGCTCTTTTTTGTACCTATCAGCTACTGCAGTGCGTTTGGGTATGCTTCGTTCTGCGTCAGCAACAGTTATAAACGTGCATACATTGGACGGCGAAAATAGTCATGCCTTTTTTGCTTAAAAAAACTTCCTCACGGTAACCATTGAAAAACCCGAAATGTTTT